CGTAGCAGCTACCCCTAGGGCACTACACTGGTATAGGGGTGGACTGCTGCTAATCTAGATACTGGTATAGGGGTAGGTTGCTGCTAATCTAGATACTGGTATAGGGGTGGACTGCTGCTAATCTAGATACTGGTATAGGGGTAGGTTGCTGCTAATCTAGATACTGGTATAGGGGTGGACTGCTGCTAATCTAGATACTGGTATAGGGGTGGGCTGCTGCTAATCTAGATACTGCTATAGGGGTGGGTTGCTGCTAATCGATGCACGCCTGTGTCATAAAGATGATCGTTATTACGAAACATATAATAGGACTTGTAACCGCATACAGTTGAGTCGAAACCGTTTATATTTACTCTGAGCGCGTGAATAATTAACGTTGTGTCGTCATTACGTGTCAACCGATCAGTGCGTAGAATCTTCCGAGTAGAGTCTACCTTATGAAAATGGGAACGCCTATATCACAGTAATAACTGTACTTACAATGACTGTAATGATGAGCGGAACTCGTTTTAATTAACTTAATTAACTGGGACATGATTATTGATGTGGCGAAATATATTTTCACATATACATAATTATTACAGATCATTATAACTGATTCGCTTATTGCGTGCGTGGTTGCATTAGTAGAAAATCGTGAAACCTTGGTGCGTCAATACTACTGCAAGCCTACTTTGTCGCAAATTGTAATTTTTCAAAAAGCTTGTCGCGGCACGGATTGCTTACCGCAGACTTATGGAAACGCTTGCGCAAGATTATTAGAGTATTTTATTAGAGCTTATAAGCGGTAAGTGTGAAAGCCTTTATCAAATGCATTAGCGATAATGAAATGCTGTAGTGAAGCATCAACGAGCCGGAATTGTGTTGCAAACTGTGAATTGTCTAAACATTTAGGATTTTCCGGATTCTTTTCGCGACACGGATTGCTCGTAGGTTTAGCACGCGGAACAATTTCATAATAAATAAGCTTGATATCATTAATTATAGCGGACACGCACGCGGGGACGCACATACGCACATGCACACACATACGCACGCGCGCACGGGCACGCACATACGCACACGCACGGGCGCACGGACACGCACACACGCGTGTATCACTGTTTATAACATTGCAACAAAGGAAACGCTAGTATAGTTGTTAACAAGGAAATAAATCCAATAGAAATAAGTTACGTATCATGTATTTTCTTTTATCGAAATGCGTTCGCGAGCACACTCGATCATGCTACGTTACTATACAATGTGTAATAATGATGCAAGGCTAGTACGACTTTCCGCCACCCGGGAGCGATTTCCTTCCTGTCGAACCCGATATGTCGAACATTGATACGACTAATTGTATTATAGCTATATTTATTATTTCTATTATTTAGATATAATTATTAGGAAAATTATTTCTCTCATTGCCCACATGGACGATGCAACCAATCAGCTTTGCTTGACAGGCGCACGTACACGCATACACACGTACACCCAGCCGCATGCACGCACACGAACACACACGTACACACACACGTACACACGGGCGCACGCACACACATACACACGTGCACACGGGCGCACGCACACGTATACACATGTGCACACAGGTTCACGCACACGCATAAACACGTACACGCGAACGCACGCGCACGCACACACGCATACACACGCACACGCACACGCATCCACACGCACACGCACACGCACACGCATGCACACGTCATACACGCCTCCACCCGCGTGCACGTGTACGCGCACTGGCGCTCACACACGTACACACGCACACGCATACACACGTTATACACGCGTACACACGCGTGCACGTGTATGTGCACAGGCGCTCACACGCGTACACACGTAATAATGCACCTCTAGTCTAAAAAAAATCTTTAGGAGCAGAAAGAAATAACTAAGAGTTAGCTTTATACGCCGCAACTAAAACGTAAAGGCTTTAGACGTTTACAAACCCCGCCGAACAACCCCACGCGATCCGCATCAAAAAATAAAGAGAAGCCTTTTAAACCGTAAAAGCTTCTCTTCACGAACGAAAGCAGAGCGGCGCCTATGATCTCTCCTCTTTTTTATTCTCGTTGTAACTAGTTTAATTATGAATGAACGCGTGAATAGCCAAAAGTAAATCGCCAGGGGAAATCAGAACTGACTACAGAAGGGCGAATAATATAGAGTAGAAGGCACTGCGCATGTGAACTCTGGTAATTTCGGATGCTTCTGTTGATGATAGCAGCGTAGCAGTGAATTATTGCACTGCACTGTCGGATACTATCAGGAGTAAGATAATATAGGATATAGGATCCTATATTATCTTACTCCTGATAGTATCATATCTTCCGTATATGGTTCATGCGGATGCTTCTTAGGAATTTGCGTATTATATAATAGATATAGAATAGATAACTAATAACAAAATAGAATACTAATAATACTGATAGAATGGCCAATAATGACGTATACACTAAAATTCAATTAGTAATAGGAAACAATGTTATCCCGTGTAGTCTTTTTTGAAGTTGGACAATTGTGCCGCGTGGTTCTGTTTGTTAGAACCCATACCAAATGTTATGCACGAATAAATATTAAAAATAACTATTACCAACATTACTAATATTATAACTAGTATTATATCATCTTACCTTGGGTACCAACCCTCAACTTGCCCTGCAGTCAACACTGGCGTATAATGCGCAAGTGGTCGTATATGAAAAGGTGACGACGATTTGACGTTCGTTATACGTCGATCTGCTTACTAGTAAAGAAGAAATAAGCGCCGTGCGGCAACGACGGTTAGAATCGCGTTCCAAATTCAGTTACGCGTCGCTCGCGCACATCACGAGAAAAACACTCGCTCGTACTACGATCTGTTTCAGAAAGTATCAATTCTGACGGAATCGAATCTATTAAGCATGCGGTGGTGGTGATAGTGATGGTGGCGGTGACGGTGGCGGTGATGGTGGTGGTGACGGTGGCGGTGACGGTGGCGGTGATGATGGTGGTGGTTCGATATCACATTATCAGTATATACCATTATACATGCACAAGTTAACGCGTCTGCAGCAGTGGAGTCACCAGAGCGGACGAAACCCGGAATCTACGGCATACTGCCCGCCGTGTAATTTATAGTAAAGCTTGCGCATCTATATCTGAAGAGAGCATGTCACAGGAGTAGACTGACATGCGCAGGCAGGGGAAAGCAACCATGAATCAAACACATGACCATCTGTCTCTGCAGAGAGCTGACACAAAGACATTACATATTAAACGCTTCAGCTATCAGCTAATGTGTTGTTATCAACAGAGTAACAAATAATGTGAGTAAACTAATGAGGTTTATTGAGGCACGCACAGCACAGCACAATGTTCTCGTTTTCTACTTAGGAGTACAGCACAATGGAATGAGTAATTAACTTACCGAATATAGTAAATGCACGGAAACGCTGAAAGCGTTTTCATTATTATCTAATTTCCATTTCCCAAAATGCGCAGAGCGCTTTCACTCGTCTGTGCATGCATGCACCACGTGATAACAATAGTCGCCTGCCACAAGATTTGCTTTCGTTTCCGAAAATAAAATCATTAAAGCCGCACAATGGGCATCCAAACGCTAATTTCTCCAGTACTAGACTAGCAAATACTTCGTGTCATGCATATTCACACTACCTTATGACAAAATAAACTCTAGTTCCTCCCTTTTCACTGCGCGTTGTCTTATAAAAGGTATTTTGAAAATACCTCCAATGTTGTTCAAATTCTCCGATGTTGTTGACAGTTTCCCCAAGCAACCATTCAGCGGTTCTGCGGTACAGCGGTACGGGTGTAGCAAAGATAAAAACATGTGACGTCACCTCACCACTTCGAGGCTAAATTGTTTGGCAAACAAGTCGGCGTTTGCGCCAGACTGCCAGTTTTGTCACCTCTTTCTTGTGGGTTTTAAGCAAACGCGCAGTGAAATGGAAGCAACTAGAGTTTATTTTGTCATAACGTAGTGCATGTGATTATGCATGACGCGAAGTATTTGCTATAGTCTAGTACTGGAGAAATTATCGTTTGGATGCGCATTGTGCGGCTTTAATTCCTCTGGACAACATTTGGACACATGTGGCGTGGTTCGTAGAATATATTCGGATATAATACTGCTAAGCGGATGGCGGCGCGTTAGCGTGCCATATGGCTGACGCATTAGCAACGCAGTAAGGATCTAGCTATAGGCCTACTCTATTACTAGTTTGTGCAACGAACCAGTCTCACATCGATTTCTCATTCTCCCTAGGTTATTTTTATCCCACGTTTATCAACGTTAATGGTCAAAGGAACACATATATTTATTATTACTTTTTGAGCTGTTTTTGCTCTCCTCCTTCTCTCCCACTCGTTTTCTCTCTCTCTCTCTCTCTCTCTCTCTCTCTCTCTCTCTCTCTCTTTCTCCCTCACTCTCTTTCTCGGCATCAGTCGACGGCATGGTGAACGCGGCCGATAGCGACGGTGACGGCATGATCGACTACGAAGGTGAATACGGCGTTTGTGGTGGACTGGTGGAGAGAGAGGGGGAGGAGGGAAGGGAAGAGAGAGAGAGAGGGAGAGAGAGAGGGGGAGGAGGGAAGGGGAGAGAAAGGGAGAAAGGGGAGGGGGAGATGAGGAGAGAGAGAGAGAGTGAGAGAGGGGGAAGGGGAGAGGGAGGAGCGAAAGAGAGAGGCGGAAAGGGGAGACCGAGAGAGAGAGCGATCGAGAGAGCGCGAGAGAGAGAGAGGCGGAGAGGGGCGAGCGGGAAAGAGAGAGAGAGAGAGAGAGAGAGAGAGAGAGAGAGAGAGAGCGAGAGAAAGAAAGCGAGAGAGCGAGAGAGGGGGGGGGGAGCTCACGTGCAACACTGAGCAGAAGATCGAAACACGCGAAGCTAGATCAATCCAGAGCTGTCATAACCTCAATGGTTTTACATAATATACATGATTAATAATGGTATTATTCTAATATTACTAATATTATTACATTATTTGTTATTTAATTAATTATAATTCGCTTAATGCGCATTAGCTGTTGGCTTAGGCGTTTAATCTGTGTAGAGAATGAGAACATTGTGCTGCGATGTGCGTGCCTCAATAAACCTGAATTGTTTATTACGATGGGAACTACAATGCAGGCCCGTAGGCAGGCTTTTTTACGGGAGGGTGCGACTGCGATCCAACGAGTATACGGACCTAACGAGCGCAGGAATCGCCAGTCTCTAGGGGGGGGGTCCGGGAGCATGCCCCCCGGGAAATTTTGAAAATTAGGTTGTTTGAGACTGCATTTCACGCGTTTTGAAGGCAGTATGATATGAAAGCAGGCAGCCAAAAGCGAACCTCAAAAACGTGGACATTTCTCACATTTTTAAACTTCAAAATGGATTTTTTGGCAAACAGACTATTTTATGTAACATGCATTTTACAATTTTAGCGAATAACAATGTCAATGTCATCTATTGACTATCCCCGTCGCCGGCTGCTAATCAAACATGGAATATTTTTTCTTTGCTTATTTATTTCATTTTTACTACACAATCAGCGAATTAGAACACAAACAATGCTATTGTTTTTTTATTATTTTACATTTTTTTAAATCGTTGGTGCACAAAAAAGTGGACATTTGCAGCCTGTGGGGGTGCGGGCGCACCCGTCGCAGCCTGTGGGGGGTGCGGGCACACCCGTCGCATCCTGTGGGGTGCGGGTGCACCCGTCGCAGCCTGAGGGGGTGCGGGCGCACCCGTCGCAGTCTGTGGGGGGTGCGGGCGCACCCGTCGCAGCCTGTGGGGGGTGCGGGCACACCCGTCGCATCCTGTGGGGGTGCGGGTGCACCCGTCGCAGCCTGAGGGGGTGCGGGCGCACCCGTCGCAGCCTGTGGGGAGTGCGGGCGCACCCGTCGCAGCCTGTGGGGGGTGCGGGCACACCCGTCGCATCCTGTGGGGGTGCGGGTGCACCCTTCGCAGCCTGAGGGGGTGCGGGCGCACTCGTCGCAGCCTGTGGGGGGTGCGGGCGCACCCGTCGCACCCCCTTTCCGATGTTACACACATTTATTGGAATTAAGGTAAAATCCGGTTCCTGATTCGGAGACAATATGCGGTGAGATTTCGACTGTTGTGGAAGAATCAACCAGTTTTTAAAGCAGCCGTAGGATCAACCGGCCGACCAGCTGTAACAAGTATCACATGTAGCTGTGACAAGTATCACATGTAGCTGTGACAAG